ATGAATGCTGTAGTAGGCTCTGTGTCCAACTCAGAGCTGCTTTTGGAGTGTGTCTGTAAACACTCATGCCTGTGAGACATGGAGAAACATGTAGGGTCAGAGGAGCAAATTTCCAGCTGGCAGAGCTGGGCAGTCACCCTCGGAAGCCACAGAGTCAGGCTGGCTGAGGATGAGTCTCAAGTGCTCAGGAGTGAGAGTTTTACAAAGACCACAGTCACAACAGAATGCTAAACTCAGGTGCTGATGCTCTGGACCACTGCAGTAGTGCAAAGGTCCTTCTACCCTCAGAGAAGGATTTCACCAGGTGCTACAAAGCAATTTCCATCCCAAGCCAACAGCTGTGTTGCCATCCGGGGGGAGAAGGGAGAAAAAAATTGAAGCAAGTTGGAATTGAGCAAGGGATATGTCACAAAAGGAGTCCTCTCTGGAAGACATAGTTCTCAAAACCAAAAATCTTTCTTTTGATAAATTATTTCATATTTCTATTAGGGAGAGTCCCATTTAGCTCTTGCACTTCAGTCACTTAGCTCTAAACCAGAAAACGCCACTAAACATTACATATTTCCTTTTTTAAGGAGCTTAAGATCATTTGAAAGTATTTCCTCAAGTGACCTCCCACAGCCATCTCACAAAGTCCAACTCCCTTCCTAGGGGCAAGACACTTTGGAAGAATACATGTCCTGAAGTGTCCCACTGCAAAACTTGGGTGGGAACAAAATTTGGCCATGTGGGAACTGCCTGATATTAGCAGTATTGAGGGAAAGGTTTGGGCTGTGAAAGCAGCTCCTAGCAGAGAAGGGTGATGCTTTTTCACTGTACTTCCCATGATCCAGGGGGACAAAATGGGTTGTCAGTAGGCAGAAGAGTTCCAGGTTGCCTGGAAGGATTTCCATGTGAGGAGAACCTTTTTGCCACATACATCAGCCAAGGAAATACATCCTCTTCCAAGCAGAAGGAAAAGTCAGAATTTTCCCTGTAGAAATTGGAAGGTTTGGAGTAAAAGTCATTGCTGGAATGACCTCAGATGTCCATGTGAATTTTACTGACCTGCAAGGCCAGAGTGTGAAGAAGGGATCTCAGCAATTGAGAAATGCCCTCTTGCTCTGGGGCCTTCCATGGCACAGAAAGCACAAGTGGGAGCCCTTCCCTGGCCTTTGCCTTCAGCAAGGCCCCACTTTGGGGAAATCCTGAATTCCTTGTTAAAGCAACTCAGATTTACACTGCCCAGCATGAAGGGTGCCAGAGGACAGACAAGCTGAATAAGTCTCAAGTGCAATCCAGCTTAGGCTACAGCTTTCTGCCCTTGTGTCTCTGGAGCCTTGGAGGGGAAGGCTGCATGGCTGGCGGTGCCTTTCAGCAGCTCTCCTGCTACCAGTCCTGGCTGCCCCAAGGCTCTTTGGACTCAGCACAGGAAAGTGCAGGAAGAAATGATCACCTGGCTTTGGAGACCCCGGAGATGAGCAAGGACAAGGAGTGTGCAGAGAAGAGACCATCACCACTGCACAGCTGCTTCTCTCAGCCATCAATCACAGAAAATTCAAACGTCACTGTTTGGGTTTGGGGCCTTGGTTGTGTTTTGTTTGGAGCTTTTTCCCCCACAGCAAAACCTGTGGCTTTTGCCATGTTGCACACCTGGATTGGAGTGGTCCACTCTCAGTGCTGCCTAGATGGAACTCAGAATTGTGCCTTTGCCCCTCTCTTTCCCCCCATTACGATGTGTCAGTTGAAGACATTGCTGGGTAGCAGCATTTCTCTTTTCTCACCTTGTGCTCAGGAGCTGGGAGAGCCACCCACCCCCCTCCCCTGCCACAGCTTGACTCTGCAAGGGTTCTGCAGTAGGGTAAGGTGGCATGTTGCCAGTGGCTCAGCTGCCAGCACTGGTGCTAGCCAAGGTGGAAGATTCATCTGTGTGGCTGAGTCAGCTCACAGTTGCCAGCATCTGGGCTGTGTCCTGCCTCACATTCTTCCTGCCATCAAGTCAGAGGCTGCAGCAGGATGTCAGGAGGGGAAGCTAAAGGGACTTCAGCAAATCAAGTCTTCTTCATGCATGGGCTGTTTCTGTTGCCATCTGCTCCCATTGGCAGCTGGGCAAAGCCTTGCCTGAATGTAATAAAGCCTTGAAAAATATTGCAGTAGTTTTAAATATGTATAATTCACATTATAATAATACTGTAATAACTCCATTATATGATCAATGACACTGAAACAACATAGGGTCATAACAGTGGTACACCACCTTCTTCCATTCACTGTTCCATGAAACATGCCTGATTCTAGAAGCATGCTGTTTGGAAATGAGCGACTTTCCCACCATTGCCTACATGTTTTGTGTTCATGTAATTTTCATCTGCTTGGCAAACACAGCCTTTTTGTGTTTGATGTGACTAAGACTTTATCTATTGCTTGGTTCAGCTGGGTTTCATATCAGTGCTTCCTGTGATCTGCCTTCAGCTTGACCAATATCTCTTGCAGCCTGTAACTCACCTCAGAATGGTCAGAGAATGTGAATAGGGACTAGAGACATCACAGCCTTTTCTGGAGGCAGCTCCAACCTTGGCAGAAGTAAAACAACCTACAACCTCCTGGCACGAGGCTTTCCCACTACCACTGATCCCACCAAAGCAAATTCTCCTGTCCCAAGGCTGAAGGTGAAGATGAGGAGAGCACAGGGAAAAGCAGCTGCATAAAGTTGAGCACTAGACTGAAGCTGCTATTAAGGACTTTATGAAATTAGATTACAAAATACTCTAAATTAAAACCAGCTCCCCATCACAATAGTATGGAATTGTTTAAAATGAAAAATATCTCTAAGAGCGTCCAACCACAAACCTGACACTGACAAGTCCAACTTGAAACCATGTCCTCAGGTGCCACATTCACACATTCCTGAAGTGCCTCAGGCAATGATAATTCCACCAATTCTATGGGCAGCCTTGACAACCCTTAGTAACTCCTTCAGAGGAAAAATTTTTCCCTAATACCCAATCTGAGCCTCCCCTGGCAGAACTTGAGGCCTTTTGCTCTTGTCCTCTCCTTTGTTCCTTGGAAGCATAGCCTGGCCCCCACCTGGCTACTCCACCCTTCTGTCAGAGAGTTGTAGAGAGCAAGAAAGTCCCCCCTAAGCCTCCTCTTCTCCAACCTCAGCCCCTCCAGCTCCTTCAGCTGCTCCTCATCAGACTTGATCTCCAGACCCTTTCCCAGCTCTCTTCCCTTCCCTGTGCTCAGGCCTTTGGGACCTATTGCAGCATTCCACACTCCACACAGACAAGTTTTTATCTAACCCTTGTTTGCTGAGTGGGAGATTAACCCCTTTTCTTTGCAGTGACCTAACTTGCAGTCTGATTGCTGGCTTTGCTTGTTTTCTTGCATTTTGCATCACCCCCACAAAAGCAAAAATCACCATACAAAAGAAACCGAAAGAAATCACTGCTAGAGGGGAGTAGAGAAAACCAGCAAGTACTTTGTGGACAATTCCCATCCTTTATGCATCGGTGGGAGCCAAACAATTGGAAATGGCTGTTTCCCTCTTCCCCTGCTCCGAGTGCTTTAACAAGACTAGGAACCAACTAGAAAAAAGGGAAGATTGACCTTCTGGAGAGGGCAAGAATGTCTGCAGCCATTCATTTGTTATGCTTGCACAGGACCAGAGTGGAATACATAAACCTCTGGCTCCAGCTAGAGGCCACTCACGGCTGGGTTTCTAAGCTGAACAGAGCTCTCTTTAGCAAGTATCACTCTGCTCTGTTAACATGTGTAGTTCGATAGGCCCAATAATCTCAGAGGAAATGAGAAGACCAGAGAACAGAGAAATTGATTGCTTCCCGGGAAGTGGCTGAACATCGCTCATCTATGAGAAGCAGAGACTAAATGTTTTTATTCCTTTACTTTTGCGTGCACAAACTCTCTGTTTTTTCACTTTAGACAACATCTTTATCTCAACTGACTACTTGTTTTCCATCCGATTTTCTCTCATATGTCCCACTCGGAAGGGAAGTGATTGAGTGGCTCAGTAAGCACCTGGCATTCAGCCAAGGTGAACCCACTACAGCCATCTTAAAAAAGGGTAGAAAGGCACACTCTGGAAATGACTGACACATCAGCCTCACCTCTGTTCCTGGGAAGATCACAGAGCAAATCCTCCTTGAAGCTATGCTAAGGCACATGGAGAACTGGGAGGTGATTCGGGACAGCTAAGCATGAGCCCAGTAGCCTTCTGTGACAGAGTGAGTACTTGAAGAGACAAGGGAGGGGCTACAGGTGTCATTTATCTGAACTTCTGAAAAGCCTTTGACATGATCCCCACAACATCTTCTCTGTATTAGAGAGAGATGGACCTGATGCCTGGACTGCAGGATGGATAAGAAATTGCACGCACGGTGCTTCCAGAGGTCAACAGCTCACAGTCAGGACAGACATGGGTGACCAGTGGTGTCCCTCGTGTCTATTCTGGGAGCACTGATTCTTTATCTCTTCAATAATGCTGTAGAAAAAGGGAGCAAGGGCATCCTCAGCAGATTTGCTGATGTCACCAAGCAGAGTGGATCAGTTGTCACACCTCAAAGATAGATTACCAACCAGAGAGATGTGGACATGCTCAAGGAGTGGAACCATGGAAATCTCATGTGGTTTCAAAAGACCAAGTAAAAGGTGCTACACCCAGTTAAGGGTAGGCCCCGGGATATGTCAAGGCAGACTCTGGCCCATGGGAAAAAAGAGGATGGGAAGAGACGCTGCCTGTCCACGTGGGGCCTGCCTGTTGGGTTGCCCCAGGGCAGTCAGGCTCTGACTGTAGCCGTGTGTGCCCCGCTCTCACTGTGGCCGGCACTGGCGGCCCTGCTGTCCTGCTCCCGGAGCCCTGTCCCGGGCAGAGCCGTTCCCTGGCCGGGCAGGCCCCATGGGCTCCCTGCTGCGGCCTGGGCTGGCCCCAGAGCAGGGTCCCCATGGGGGTGGCCCCAGGCCGGCCGTGTGTCCCCAGCCGGCTGTGCCCGGGCAGCTCTCGGTCAATCCTCACCAAGAAGGATTCTTTTGAACCACTTTTCTAGAATGTCGTACTCATAGAGCGCATGGGTGTGGGCATCCGGCTGCTGCTCCAGGCGATGGAGGACATTGTATGGCTCAGCCCTTTGAACATCTGCAGGTAATTTGATGCCCCGAGGAAACCTCTGGTTGCCCACAATGAAGTGGTTGAGGCGTTTTGCTCGCACACATACGTACAGGCTGCTGATGATATCCAGCATTCGTTCCAGGAGGTCCCTCCGGCGCCACACTGTGACGGTTTTGATATTGAGCAGGTGCATGACAATGGTCTTCATGGTGTAGGTGGAAAAGCCAAAGCCCAGCGGAAGACGGGTGAAGAACTGCAGGCATTTGAGGTGCAAGCTGTCAGGGGGTGCCTGCCTGGCAAAGTGCTGGAAGAACTCAACCTCTGCCACAGCGTACGACTCGGGCCAGGTTGTGTTTGCTGTGTAGGCTTCTCTGGGCTGGCTGCACACAAAGACAGCTGAGTCACCTCTCCGCACCCCGAAGAACAGCTCAATCCTGAAGCTTTCCTGCCCGTAGGTCACCTTGAATTGGCAGGAGCGTGTGGAGGGCATCACCGATAAATGCCAGTTGTGCGACTGAGGCAGAGCTGGCCAGATTGCTCTCACCAGCTGGTAAAACCAGCGGGCAGTTTTCTGCACGTCGAGGTAGGAGCCGGTGCACAGGGTGTCTAGGAGGCTGGGATCCTGATTGCTCCTCAGCTCCTCCTCGGGGTGGTGCAGGAAGCACAGCATGTCCTCAGCCTGCTGCTCCCTGCTGCAGGTGCACTCCAGCTGCACGCGGACACGGAAGTTCCTCACGTGCCTCTGCTCTTCACTCTCCAGCTCCAGGTGGAAGCTGTGGCCTCGGGGAGGAGTCATGGGGATGAGCACGCTGTAGACGACATCCTGCTCACGGGGACTCCAGCCTTCAAAGGCACTGCCCACCCCGATGGCTCGTTGCAGGACTGGGTAGAAGCTGTTGGACAAGACATGCCCAAAGAAAATTGTATAATTATCCATGAGCTGAGTTGTCCATTCACAGCCTCTCTGCAGGTCCTGTACAGGCCACTGGATGCGCTCCATTATAACTTGTCCAACGTGATCGTCCAAATCATAATTTTCAACTTGGACTTCATTTGCAACATCATCGTTGTTTTCTGCAACTGCAGCCGCATTGATACGTTCATGTCCAACATTGTCTTCTTCATTTGCCCCAATGTTGCCCACTTCCTCTTCGTTGGCACCACGGTTTTCTTCTTCAGCCTCCTCTCTCCTCTTCAAACAACTGTGAGCTTAACTTTGGCATCTTTTGGTCCTTTGCACTGCACATCATATAATACTGGTGTGCTTCCTAGTTGTCACTAAATTTTCAATTTTTTTTTTTTTCCTTCAGCAGTCATGCCGTGGCTCTCATATCTTCCCATCGAAGTCGTGTCTTCCTCCTTGACATTATACCCTGCCTTTGCATAACCTGTCAGCTTAGTTTTGGTACCTTCAGCCCCCTTGCACTGCACCACATTTCCTCCCAGATCATTTTCGTGTAGTCATTCAATGTTCCAATTTTCTGGCTTTTGGGATTTTTTCAGACGCATTTCATTAAAGTTATATCATATATATAATATATTATAGGCATGCAGCGTATAATATATATTGTACAGATATATTCAAATAACATTTATAAAGCATGTATATATCCTAGGTATATAATATTTGTTTTAAACATCTCTATTTTATGGAAAACCTTCCAGACATAAACGTGCTAAGAGCAACAATATGTGTCACAACAGATAGTGACACTATATATGCACTCTACTCTTACTATTCACATAATTACACATTCAATTATTTAAAATTACTTTTTATCGTGATATCTTAAAAACATATTTCGCATATTTCATATTATTCATTTTAGTATAACATTTTGTATTATGGTCATTAACTTCTATATATATAGTTTATAAATATTATATCCTACAATAGGAATACAAAATATATCTGCCTATGAAATAAAACTCTAGATTCCTCTATATACAAAATTTCAGGTCAGCTCCAACACAGGTGGTCCAATGCTGCTGTAAAGGTGTCCCTTCCAGGAAGAAGGAGAGGATCGATCCATTGACTGATCCTGGCCCAGCAGTGCCAATTTTTCTTCTTGGTCTTTCTTTCCCATTTCTTTTTCCTTTTCCCTGTCCCACGTGCCCACTTCTTTCATGCTCCACATTCTGGTCCTTCTCAAAGGCCAGGAAAAACTGCAAGTCGCAGGTGGGGTTTGTAGA